CTGCAACATCAAGGCAAGACAATATCTACCACCGCCCCCGGCTCGCTCTCTACGCCACGCTCGGCTGACTCGACAAGGTCCTCCCTGCGCAGCACAAAAACAAATCATCAAGCGCGCCCCTACCCTTCTGGTGAGGTCGTACGACAAACTTGGCAAAATAGCCACCTACAACGCACCTGATATCCATTGTCCGCTCCTCGAATAACACTGATAGTCTACACGCCGTATGCCCTCCCTTACGCAACACATGCCTAGTAGTTGGGGACGACTTCATACGCCCTCTCTAGTGTGCCAAACAACGCGCGTCGCTTTCCCCTTCTCGGAAAGGCGCTTTCCTTTCTTCATTCCTTGAACAAAGGCGACGCCTGGTGACATTCGAACTCCCGGTGTATCCTTACTCGTTTCATGGTCTTATTCACCAGACTACTCAGTCACTTGGTTGCCTAGAAGCACATACACGTGGCGATCGTCCAGCATTCAATCAACAAATCAGACACATGGTACATGCAACATCGTGGAAACACGACCAAACTCCTCCCGTAAATAGAGTCCAACAACACCCAAGAGGCAACGCCCTCCGTCATCCAATAACTGCAAGATCGAAATAGTTCCACCTCAATCATGAGAGGACGACCATAACTCTGTCACGTTGCAGAATATCTGCAGACCGGGCGCAAAACTCTCCGAGCATTACACTCTCCAAAAAAAAAAAACCACGCACGGCGCCACCCTCCCTTATTCTGCAACCACACAGGCCACACAGGGAACACAAAACAAGCGGTGACGCGTGAAACTCGAGCATGTGGCGGCGGAAACACCCATAGATTGCAACAAGCAATTAACAGCGATCTATGCAAGTCCGCAACAGCGCCTCACTTGCGACTATTCACGTGCAATACAAGTTATCGCCCTTTACTGCTAAACGCCACATACAAAAGAATCAGAAAAAAATACAAAATAAAACACATTCCGGTACCAACCAAAATGAAGATAGTGCCCGCGGAAATCCACCGCGCGGCTGGTCCGTTTTGCTTCCCTCCCCACCCGCCCACACCCGACGTCCCTCGGCGTCCCGACGTTCCTCGGTGTAGCGGTGTAGCAGACAGGCACACGACGGCTTTCTCGTGTCTTTGAACTCCACCATCCCACAGCTACGTATTTCCGGGCCCCGCCAGCTGATGATGTAGAGTGCACGCGGTACCCCACGCGCCTTGATGTTCGCTGCCCCCTTCCCGCTCTTGGTAGAAGGCAGCCACGGCCACTGCCGTGCTGCTGGGTGTGGCCAAATACTCCAGCACTTCTCACACAACTCCCGTGATACCCCGCCTATCCATCGGGGCCAGGAAGCACTTCTCTCCCCGCATGTCCATCGGGGCCAGCAAGATTTTTCTGGTACCCTTCCCCGCACACACGACGGGTTGGGTTCGCGTGCCCCCTCCTACACGCTCCTTAATGGGGATAAACACAAGAGAGCACACAATACTCTCAAGTGTACACGAGTGTTCTCCACCCGTGTTCGCGGGCCACATACCTTGCGGGTACAACCCGCGGGCATTCCCGCTCCGGCCTTGTCTCCAGACCCGCCCCAGCAGACATTGGTGTTGTATACCTCCAGGCCATCTCCCGGTCTTGTGTTCCTTCCATGCTGCTGGGGTGCAGGCGGCAGAACTCCACCGCCTCCGCGTGCCCCCTCCTACACGCCCTCTTAATGGGGACAAACCGATATAGCAACCGGCTCGGGAGTAGCGGATACTCTCCTCTGCTCCCACGACCCGCACCTGCGGGCGAGCGGCAGCCTCCGTGCTCCCGCTCTATGGAGCCCCCGTTGGGACTCCTGGTGGACATGCACTACACAGCATCCCCACCGTCGACAGCATCCTCTTGGCGCCGCCTAACTTCGTCCGACCCCTCCTGAGTGGATAAGTCGGTCGCTGTGACACTTTCGCTAGTGCCCCCAGCGGTAGCAACTCTGCTGTGCAACAGCTCTGCCACAACTTCTACAACAGACGGAGAGAGTTGGTGTACTGGAATGCACCAAACACACCTTCAGCAGGGACCTCAACAGCCCGCACCAGGGCGCCATCCACGTCCGGCCTACTGCTGCTCTCTCCTCCCGCAGTGTCGCCCCCCCTGACGACCACGCAGCTCTTGGTGGCTGCTCGGTGGAACACACAAATCCCGCCGCACCTGCCGTGCCTCTCGCAGCACCGTGTTGGTAAATCAGTGGCTTCTGGAGAAGAATATTGTATTAGTGAGACCTAGGTATGGAGAGACAGGTCGGAAAGTGGAGTGAGGACAGGGGGCGAGCGTGATGCTCCCAGCTCCCAACGTCTCCTCCGGATAGATGCACACTCGGAACACAAAGCAATGCACCGAACACGACAATGACCCGTAAGCCCGACCTCCAGCGACAATGCTAGAACGTTCCTACTGGACAAGTGTCCAACGTACCACATACCAACGTACCGACTTACACCTACGGTCCGTTGTACGATCCTTACGTGTGTACAATCTACCGAACTACCACAAAGAGTATTCGCAGAACACTCGGCATGACAACCTACGATCGACAGTTCTGCAATTAAAAATATCCAATCAGATGTTCTACCGCAGCTCAGGCGATACATAAGGCCGCTACCACGAACACCCTCCCTAAGGGGCTTTTGTATCTACCAGACCAAATACATTTACTTCGCATGTATGAAAGCTAAAAAAAAAAAAAAAGACTCTACTTCCTTGAGCCTAATACAAAGTCGCGATGAACTTCAAAAAGGTCTCTCGGCAAAGCCTTCGTGAGGATGTCAGCATGCTGCTCCTCGCTTGGGACATGCGTGACCTCGATAACACCCTCCTCTGTCAAATTCCTAAGGAAGTGATGCCTCACATCAATGTGCTTACTCCTACTCGAGCTAAGCGGATTCTCTGCGAGCGCAATCGCTTCTTCGTTGTCCTCAAGGACGTCTATCTTCCGAGGGTTCGCACTAGGTCTCAGGAACTGAAGCATTCCATTCACAAACAGAGCCTTCTTTACACCGTCACCCATCGCAAAATACTCTGCCTCAGAAATCGACTGTGAAACGCATTTCTGCGTTTTAGAAATCCAAACCACAGGCATCGAAGCCACAAGCACTATTGCTCCCGAAACTGATCTACGGTCGTTGGCCTTGCTCGCAAAATCAGCATCTACGTACACTAATGTGCTTGCGTCTACTGAATTATCCGGTTTGAATTTTAGAGTTAGATGTGCCGTTTCCAGAAGATAATTTAGAATCTTCTGAGCAGCCTTCCAGTGACTTTTCTTTGGCTCGTGAGAGTGCCTTACCACCGCCCGCAAAGCATTCGAGATGTCGGGCCTCGTCTGGTTGGCGATCCACATCAGGCTCCCCACCACCTCTCGGAACGGCACATCTCCTGCCCCCTCATCCTCCATCACGGACCTGTAATCGTTAGTAGGGGAAGCAGGGATCGAGCTGGTGCGACAAACATTGAATCTCTCAAGAACACTCCTGATGTAACTCTCTTGAGAAATCTCAATCGTACCAGCCTCGCGGTCGCGAACGAATGCGCAACCAAGAAAGAACCTGACCTCGCCCAAATTCTTCGTGGGAAGAGAGTCAGCTAGTGCTGCCACCACCACCTCAGCCAGACTCTTCGTTCCTGTATACAGAATGTCATCCACATGAATTGCGACCATCCCCACTACCTCGTCTTCCATCATGAAACGCAGCACACAGGTTCAGACATAGACTGCTCGAAACCAATCCTTTTCAGCTCCGACACCAGCCTCTTGTAAAATGTTCTAGATGCCTGCTTCAATCCGTACAAACTCTTGTTCAAACGGACAACCTTTCCTGACATCGAACCACAGCCAGGAGGCAACTTCATGAACACCTCGTAATCCAATTCCGACTGAACAAATGCTTGTTCAATATCCCAGTGGAGTAATTCCAAGTTGTACTTGCACGCCAACGCCACTACCAATCTATGAGATGCAGCATTTGCGGTAGGCGAGAAAGTCTCAAGATAG